CAACTTTAAAAAAATAAGATGATGACTTGATAATATTTTAAGAGGTGGGAGGGGAATACTACCTATGAAATGATAAATTATCTAAATACATACTGAGTAAAGACTTTTCAGTGTCACCAGCTCTGGGTCACTGCACATTCATCAGAAAGACCTTACTTATTTTCTGTAAGTAAGGCTCATGAATCCATGGGTCCCGATAGTGAACATTTATAATTATGAAAGTTGGTGTCATTGAGAACTTAATGAGAAGGAATAAACATTACTTGAAGCTTCCCCATTGAAGGACTATTCTTACAATACATAGTAAATTTATTTGTTAAACCTCCTATGTCTCATGGTCTGTTCATTTGGATATTAATCACATCAAAAGGATAAATGATTGCATGTCCATTTGTCAAAGGGTGGACTTGCAATGGCTATTCTTTGTTGTCAACCTCATTACATGTAGTCTGGATCTTAGAGGTAGGGAAACATTCTTTTAATCCTGATAATTTACTCACTTCCTTAATCTAGATCTTTAGGCAGGAAGACAGATCTTTAATGAAGATCATATAAGATGGATGCATATATAAGGACACAGGAGAAAGAAACTTTTGCCTTTTGCCTCCTTGCTATCACCCTACTACCAATTCCATTCCTTCACAGGCATGAGAACCTATGTATTCTGGTTCCAAATGTGTATTAAGATATGTGGCTTTGAAATTTCTAACCCTGGGATGTACCTTGATCCTCTTCATAATGTATTCAAAGGACTATATGTATACATGCAAACATGTGCAAAGTTAAAAAAAAAAAGTATTCACTGAGTTGTAATACACACACAATAATAAATAACTACACTGGAAACAAAGATAAAATAAACATTATGTGTAGAATAAAAATGAAAATAGAAAAAATAATATATTCATAGAATTTGGAAGCTGGTTACAATAACCTATGCCATCTTGTCCACAAATTCAACACACACACACACACACACACACACACACACACACACACACCTCATGCACATGAAGATCTAGAATACAAAAGAATGTTTTCATCATGAAGAAATGCCTAATATTTTGTTGAAATGTGTATGTAGTTATGTAAACATATTGAAATAAATGTAAATTTATACTGAAAAATAAAAAATAAAATTGAAAAATGTATTTAAATTACAAAATAAAGCAAAAATAATTTAAAGCAAAAAATGATAGGAACATTACTCACAACTCCATGACTGAATGCTGAGTTATCTGGAGATGAAACCAGAAGTGGAATTACTGTTTCTTATGTCATTTTATTTGTAATTTTAAAGTTGATCAATGCTCAAAATGATTTCCAGAGTATCTCTATATTTTAATGCCCAACTACATCATATAAGGATTTCTCTTTGCTGACAGACTTTTAAATACTTATGATTAGATTTCTTGATGATAACCATTATACTGGGATAAGCTGGTATTTCTAGATAGTTGTAATTATCTTTACACCCCAGTGGTACAGCCAAATATTTTTTAAACAAGGAGGAAAATGAGGAATTAAGGACAAACAGTCTACACAACCAAAGCAGCTGACAGGCTGGGTATCAACACACAGTAGAGTGAAAAGGGAACAATATCTTCCACCTTGTATAAGAATCAATTCAAGCCGGGCGGTGGTGGCGCACGCCTTTAATCCCAGCACTCGGGAGGCAGAGCCAGGCGGATCTCTGTGAGTTCAAGGCTAGCCTGGGCTACCAAGTGAGTTCCAGGAAAGGCACAAAGCTACACAGAGAAAATCTGTCTCGAAAAACCAAAAAAAAAAAGAATCAATTCAAAATTATCACAGTCCTTAGCTTAAAACATGAAGCACTGAATGTGATAGGAGAATGCACACCTAATAATTATTATGACATTAGTGTAGGGAAGAACCTACTGAACAGAATGCTAATATTATAGAAATCAGCCTCAGATATCATAAGATGGAAGAATACTAAATGAGAATGCAACTACAATCAAGAAAAAATATCCGTACATCAAAGAAAACTATTGTCAGAACACCATATAATGGGAGAAAACACATTCCATTTGCTTTTTAGATGTTGGACTAGTGTCAAAATGTTTCAATTAGCTAAAGAAGTTGTAAATTAAGGGGAAAAAACCTCCAACCAACAAATGGGTAATGACATGAACAGATCCTGTACCAAAGAAAAGCATATATGGCTAGAACCTACTTTACAAAGTTTTCAACATCACTGATCATCAGGTAAATGCAAAACTAAAAAAAAAATAGGCATTGATTGTTTCCAATATTTTGAGAAGTGTGATAATGTTTCAAGATACAAAGATCATGATCAAGAAGAGACAAAGAACAAAAATGTCCACTGTGGATTTCTGAATGTTTCCAATTCACATCATTTCCATTAAAAAAAAATCAAAAGAGATAGAATATGTTAGAAATTCAGTAAAAAGAGTAATATGAATGACTAGAAAAATTAATAGATGTTTCAACCATTGACATTTCAGGGAACACTGAATGACATGCAGTTCATATTATTAATAAAGGTAAATGGAGTAGAAAATTTGACATATTCATGTTTGTAGACTGTGGTTATAAATGAGAAAAATGAAAAATAAAGATAAGAATGGAAGGCTTTTGATCAATCTTGTTATTCATATTTTTATTTTCACAAAAATAAATGTAAAAACTATTTAAATGAACATAATATTATGAGAATTTTTATAATAACCACACAGCAAATGTTATGTCCTTTAACATGAAACATGCTTATTAGAAAGAAGGTATCTGATTAGAAACATTATGAAGTCCAAATTATCAAGGAGTATATTCTCTACGAAACTAAAAACCTTCTGTAAGGTAAAGAACACTGTCAAAGGACAAAACAGCAGTCTACAGAATGGGACAAGATCTTCACCAACTCTACATCTAACAGAGGGCTGATATCCAAAACATATTAAAACTCAGGAAACTAGACATTGAGAAACAAAATAATCCAATTCAAACAAGGGGTACCACCTAAACAGAGATTCTCAACAGAGGAAGCTCAAATGGCCAAGGATCTCTTAAAGAAATGTTCAAGATTCTTAGCCATCAAGCAAAAGCAAATCAAAAGAACACTGGTCTTCCATCTTACACAGGTCAGAATGGCTAAGATAAAAAACTCAAGTGACAGCTCATGCTGGTGAGAATGTGATGCTAGGAGAACACTAAAAAATGCTGGTGGGAGTGCAAAATTGTACAGCAAATTTGGAAATCAACATTTTAATGTAGATGTAACCAACCATCTTATTAAATAAGAAACACAGAGCCGATTCAGAGAAGAAAGTCAAGAGGTCAGAGCTAAGAGCCTCACCCTTCCTGCTTCAGCAATCCTCTTCAGTCAAGAGAGCTCTCTGAAAGGGACCTACTTCCTGTGTGTATGTCTTTATATAGTCTAGCTGTTCTGCCTTCTCATTGGTTGTAAACCCAAACACGTGACTGCCTCGTCACCGCCTGTATGTACCGCCCTCCAGGTCCTTAAAGGCGTGTGCCACTGCTGCCATGCACTTGCTATGGCTCTAATAGCTCTGACTCCCAGGCAACTTTATTTATTAATATACAATTAAAATCACATTTCAGTACAAATAAAATACCACCACATTTCCCCTTTTCTATTTTAATAAAAAGGAAGAAAAGAAAAACGGTTATAACTAACAAAAGAAAAACTATATACAAAAGTTTCTCTGAAAATTAGGAATAGATGTAGATCAAGACCAGCTTTACCACTCCTGGAAATAAACTCAAAGGATGCTCCACCGTACCATAACAGCACTTGTTCAACTATGTTCATAGCAGCTTTATTTGTAATAAACATAAACTGGAAACAACTTAGGTGCCTTTCAACCAATCAATGACTGAAGAAATTGTGGTACATTATCACAATGGAGTATTACTCAGCTGGTAAAAACAATAACATCATGAAATTTGCTGACAAATGGATGGAACTAGAGAAGATCATCCTGAGTGAGGTAACCTGGACCCAGAAAGACAAACATGGCACGTACTCACTTATAAGTGGATATTATAGTGATAATAGCTATTATTATTATATATGATATTAGTTATAAATGAAAACTATGCTATAATCTGCCACGCCCACGACGGTGTCGCCCGCGTGACAAATACCTTGGATGAGGTGGTTACGTGGGAAAGGGGGGCTCGCGGCCCTCGGGTCTATGCCCCCGGCGACCCCTTATCAATCTGCCCAAATCATGGTGCCAGGCTACACGGAACCACGCAAAATCTGCTTACAGAAGCTGGCTGGCATTCTGCCTTTTTTCTCTTTGCAGCTGTGACTATTGCTGTTTCCTTGTGTATTGATTTCAGGGAGTTAGCTCTCAATGTTTCTGATGTGCCCCATAAAGAGAATAATGATTCCTCAAAAGTGGCCTCAATACCCCCACCTATAATTCAAGCTTTTAGGCAAACAGTTAAAGGGGGTCCTAGAAGTTTGGGGGAATTTATGAATGACTTAGAACAAAAAGAACTTATGACTCAGAGGGACAAAGATTCTAGCGAGGAGAGATGAAAGTAAAAGTCCAGGAACTCATAAGCAATCCACACGCGCAGCCAACAGCAGCTGCAAGGAAGCAGTTACAGGAACTAACCAGTCCTACAAGAATTATCAAGGGACAAATAGAGTTTCTCATCAAGGGTCGGTGGTGGCAACCCCCTAACTTTAATCCTAGATACAATAATTATTTGGAGCCATTGCCCTTTACGGGAGCTTATGATAAACATGGGAACCAATGGGTGAATCATAATAGCATGAAAACAGAATGGCATAAGTTACAGTTCATGGAAAGGATAGCTAGGTCCCAACCCCCCTGGTGCCTTCTCACCTGCAAGCAAAGGTTAAATATTTTCACACAAATGAAACCATGGTTAGAACGATGGTGGGAAGGGTTTAATTGTGATACAAAACAAAGGTCTAATAATTACGTAGAAGGAAAAACTTCAGCTAGTGCTGTAATGTTCTCTGTCTGGATGGGGGACCACAAAAGAGGAAATAACACCTGTACTCATGAGATCTATTAATCATTCTGAGAAAATTGTGTGACCACATTGTTAATTCTATGTCTATCGCCCCACTGGCCGATTGCCATGTTTCCTCAAATGAATGTATAAAAAACACTGCTTGATCTGAGTAAAATTGCAGCAGTTCACAGCATACTCTGGTGTCTGTGTCTGTCTGTCATTCGCCGAATCCCACTTATCCTGAGTACCTTCAACCCGTTCTCCCTCGGTCTGGTGTTCCTACTGAGACCCAGTCCGCGGCAGGTGGCGCTTCGAACAGGGACATGAAGGACAGGTAATTTTCTCTCTTCTTTCTCTCTTTTCATAAGTAGGGATCGGCTCCTGTCAGGGTTCTGCAGACCCGCCGGTAAAGGCTCACCGGTTAAGCACAGGTAATCCAGAAGGTAAGCATGGGGCACCACCTCTCAAAGGAGGACAAATTATTTGCATCTGTGATAAGACATATGTTGGCAGAAAAGGGCTTGAAGGTAACACCAGAGGCCTTGGCAGAATTCCTTAAACTCGTGAAGGAATTGTGTCCCTGGCTCACAGAGGATGGCAGCCTGACACTGACGGAATGGAGGAAGGTAGGGAAGGCTATGCACAGATATACAAAAGAAAAGGGAAAAGAACGCCTCAGTCTCAGTCTGTTTTGCCTCGTGATGTCTTGGAGGCTATTACTAGCAATGCAGTCGCTGCTTGGCGTCGCATTCCGCCTCCCGGGACAAAGAGCATGGTGTTATCAGGGATTATACAAGGGAATGAAGAAACATATCAAGCCTTTATCTCCAGACTTGAGGAAGCAATACATAGAATGCTTCCCCCTTCAGAGGGGACGGACATGCTTCTGAAACAGTTAGCCTGGGAAAATGCCAATACCCTGTGTAAAGACTTAATTAGGCCCGTCAGGAAGACAGGCTCATTACAGGATTATATAAAAGCATGCATGGATGCCTCACCAGCCGTAGTGCAAGGAATGGCCTACGCTGCAGCAATGAAAGGACAACGATTTAGCGCCTATGTTAAGAAAATAAGTAGCGGAGGGGCTGATAGCTCCCCGACCTGCTATAAGTGTGGAAAATCAGGGCACATGCAAAAGGAATGCCCGAATGCTGAGAATAGAGGAGGAAGAGCGCCTCCTGGCATTTGCCCACGATGCAAAAAAGGGAAGCATTGGAGAAATGAATGCAAGTCAAGGTTCACTAAGGAGGGAGTTCCCCTCAAGCCCGACAGTCAGACAAAAAACTAGCTTCGGGGCTCCCCCTTAGCCCCGAGAAAGAAAAGGGGAATGTCCAAAAGGAAGTACAGTTAACACCAGGGCTAAACCCTGCTGTGCCAGAATTCACTGTCCATAACCTGCCTAGAGCTACTCCAGAGAGTGCTGGATTAGATATATCATGTCCTCAGGACTTGCTCCTGTCCCTGTGGGATGGGGTGACAGTCATAGATACAAAAATTACAGGAACCCTGCCACCACAAATGGTAGGATTAATTTTGGGGAGAAGCTCTAATACTGCTACCAGCTTTGAAGTACTCCCTGGAGTGCTAGATGCAGATACCTTAGGTACAATAAAGGTGATGATCAGGCCTTTAAAAGAAACCATTCAGCAGAGCCAGGCGGATCTCTGTGAGTTCGAGGCCAGCCTGGGCTACCAAGTGAGTCCCAGGAAAGGCGCAAAGCTACACAGAGAAACCCTGTCTCGAAAAACCAAAAAAAAAAAAAAAAAAAAAAAAAAAAAAAAAAAAAAAAAAAAAAAAAAAAAAGAAACCATTCAATTACACAAGGGACAGAGAATCGCACAGGTTGTTCTACTCCCCTACATAAAAATGCCTAATCCTATTATGAAAAGCCATAGGGGGTCAGGACAGTTTGGCTCTTCAGACTCCGTAGAAGGAGTCAACTGGGTACAAGAATTAGGGCAACGACCCTTTAAGACAATCATCCTGGACGGCAGGACCTTCCAAGGACTCTTGGACACAGGTGCTGACAGGACCTGCATAGCAGGAAAGGATTGGCCTTCTTCTTGGCCAACACACAGAACAGGATCCTCCCTTATGGGAATAGGGATGGCTTCCGGAGTAATGCAGAGTTCAAAGCTTTTAAAATGGCAAACAGACAGTAAAGAAGGGTTTATACAGCCTTATGTGCTACCCTCTCTACCATTTACTCTATGGGGAAGAGACTTAATGGAGTCACTTGATGTACATTTAGTAACAGGAAGTTCTGAGCTGGAGCAGCATTTTACATAGGGGCCACTGCAAAGGATCTCTATGCAGACTCTATACAGTGGAAGTCTGACCAGCCTGTATGGGTTAGTCAGTGGCCCCTGACACAAGAAAAAATACAGGCATTAGAACAGCTGGTATCAGAACAATTGGAAAAAGGGCATATAGAAGAATCTAATAGCCCATGGAATACTCCTGTATTTGTCATAAAAAAGAAATCAGGAAAATGGAGACTACTACAAGATTTAAGAGCAGTAAATGCTACAATGGAGGATATGGGGGCCCTACAACCAGGACTCCCATCCCCTGTGGCCATACCAAAGGACTGGCACATTATAGTCATTGATCTACAAGATTGCTTTTTTACAATAAGATTACAGCCTCAGGATCGCCCTAGATTTGCCTTTAGCATACCCTCAGTTAATTTTAAGAGACCCTATAGACGATTTCATTGGAATGTATTACCCCAAGGAATGAAGAACAGTCCTTCATTATGTCAAAAGTTTGTGGATATGGCCCTTTTACCAATAAGAAAAACTTTTCCCTCTGCATATATTATTCATTATATGGATGATATATTATTGGCTCATGAAAATAAAGATACAACAGAGAAAATTCTCAAAGAGACAATTAGTAGTCTAACAGCTTATGGCCTTGTCGTGGCTCCAGAAAAAATTCAGAAAAATAGGCCACTTAGTTATCTGGGACAATGGATAGGGGATAATTATATAACAACCCAAAAGGCATCTATCAGAGTAGATAAATTAAAGACCCTCAATGATTTTCAAAAATTGTTGGGAAATATAAATTGGGTAAGAAAATATTTAAATGTCACAACAGGTCAATTAAGCCCCCTGTATCAAATATTACATGGAGAAGCTCACCCAAGGTCAATAAGACACTTAACTCCTGAAGCCTTGCAGGCTTTAAGACATATAGAGCAGGCTTTGGAAAAAGCTAAAGTACATCAAGTAGACTATTTGATTCCATGGTATTTAATTGTTTTTGCCACAGATTATACTCCAACAGCTTGCCTATGGCAGGGAGGTGTATTGGAGTGGCTACACTTACCACACACACATAAGAAGGTACTTATATCTTATCCCTCTCTTTGTGCACAACTTATATATAAGGGCAGAATTAGGTCTAGAGAATTGTTTGGCAAGGAACCGGCCTCTGTAATTATACCCTATAATAAAGAACAATTAGAGCTCTTATTACAAGAATCAGAAGATTGGTGTCTCTCCTTAATGGGATACCTAGGACAAATCGCCTTTCATTACCCCAAAGACCCTCTTATTGAATTCATAAAAGAAGTTCCTCTTATATTTCCAAAGATATGTGTTTCTCAACCCCTAGCAGAGGGTATTGTGGTTTTTACAGATGGGTCAGCAAATGGGAGGTCTGTGGTATACTCGGAAGGGGAGGAACCTTTAATAGAAGTTGTACCGCAGATAACAGCCCAGCAAGCAGAAATACGTGCAGTTCTGCTTGCACTTAGACATTTTCCCCAGACCCTTAACCTTTATACAGACTCAAAGTATGTAGTTAATTTATTTCCTGTCATAGAAACAGCGAGTTTAACAGGTTCTTCTACTATTAAGCCTCTGCTTAAGGAACTGCAGGCTCTGTTATGGCAAAGAACAGAGAAACTTTTCATAGGACATATTCGGGGTCATACAGGGTTACCAGGACCCCTGAGCCATGGTAATCACATGGCTGACTTATTAACTAGAATTAATCTCCTTACAGTACAGGAGACACAAGAAAGTCATGCTCTGCATCATCAGAATGCTAATGCATTAAAACAAGCTTTTCAGATAACTAGAGAACAAGCTAGACATATAGTTAAGGAGTGTGCTCATTGCCCTCCGCAAAATCAGAGTTTAAAAATGGGAGTCAATCCTAGGGGATTGAAGCCTCTTGCATTATGGCAGATGGACGTAACCCATATTCCTTCCTTTGGGAAGATGAAGTATGTTCATGTAACAGTGGATACATTCTCTCATTTTATCCACGCGTCTGCCAGATCAGGAGAAGCAGTAAAGGATGTGATTCAGCATCTAGTACAATGTTTCATGATCATGGGGAAACCCATGCATATCAAAACTGATAATGGACCTGCCTACACCTCAAAATCTTTTGAGGTATTTTTAGCACAATGGGGGATTAGTCACACGACAGGAATTCCCTATAACCCACAAGGACAGGCCATCATAGAAAGAACTCATCAGACATTAAAATTACAAGTAGAAAGATTACAGAATGCTAACTCATATATGTCCCCTCATCATGTTTTAAGTCATTCTCTCTTTGTATTAAACCATTTGAACATGGACTCAAATAATAATTCCTCTGCTCTTAAGCATTGGGCAGTAAAAGAGACGGCATCATCATTGCCACAAGTATTATGGAGAGACTTGCTTTCGGGATCCTGGAAAGGACCCGACCCTCTGATAACATCGGGACGAGGGTATGCTTGTATCTTTCCACAGGATGCGGAATCGCCCATATGGATTCCAGACAGACTCATCAGGCCAGCGCCGCAGAAAACTGCAAAAGCGAAAGGAAAAGTTAGCGACGGCCCGGCTCACTCAGGAGATGAAGAAGCTGACCCTGAAGCCACAGAAGCTTCCGACATGGACCCAGCTAAAACATCTGGCGACGGAAGCAAAAGCACTTGCCTCGCAACAATGTTCTAACCCTCCTTTAGAAATGCTATTTGTAGCCATGTTGTCCTTGATTGCTGTTGGGCCTACTACAGCCTCTACCAGTCCTTCTACCTATTGGGCTTATGTTCCTCGTCCTCCCCTCTTACATGTAGTGGGGTGGTTGGATGATGAGACTTATAAGGTATTGAGCAATCAGACGGAGATCATCGGGGGTTTCCAAGATTCAGATGAAAGGGCAAGTGCTTCCTCATTTATAAACTTTGCAGGAAGCTCAGATTCATTACCAATTTGCTTCGCCCTGGAAGGAGTAGCTCCTCCCGGGTGTCTCTCCACCAGCTACAGAACCTTTTTAACTGATGCCCCCAGCTCTACCGGTAAGAAAGGAGATCCTAGATGGATCTGGGAGACTCAGCTGCTTACTCTGGGACTTCCCACTATGAATGAAACTTTTCAGTCTGTCAATTTTATGCCTCTTGATTCCTGTATTACTAAGTATCGGGATAAGAATCAATTTTGGGATGATGGTATTACCGCCTTTCCTACTTGGTTGCGTTGTGGGTTTCCTCACGCAGCCTCCTCCTACAATCCTTTACTGTCTAAATTGCTTATTTGGGATTTTTCCGCCTCTTCTGGAGAAAAGAAGTATGAAGATTATATCTCAAAGAATAAAGATAAGTTCCATAATTATACATTTGTGGGTCATGGAGAGAAAATCACTAGGTGGTTTTCACCTGGGTATGTTGAGCCAGTGTGGGTCGCTAGAACCCCCTCCGGAAACATGAGAAAACATCCAGACTTGTTTCGGCTTGTTGCCGCTTCAGGCCCAGTGTCTCAAAAAAGACCACCTTTTATAATGATGCCTGTGCAATTACATAACATGACTTGGTATGATAATTCAGCTTTACAGGTACTTAGACAGCTTCATGAATTAATAAGGCCAAAAAGATTTGTTGCAGCATTAATATTAGGGATAACAGCATTAATATCTATTATTACTACTTTTGCCATTGCCACCACCGCCCTGATTCAAGAGATTCATACAGCTCAATTTGTAAATGATTTAAATAAGAATATTTCCTTTGCATTATCTGAACAAGCAATTATTGATAAGAAATTAGAGGCAAAGATTAATATATTAGAGGAAGTAGTGTTGGCCTTAGGACAAGATGTGGCCAATATTAAGAAACTCATGGAAACTAGATGTCATCAAGAATACAAAGCTATTTGTGTGACTCCACTTCCCTACAATTCCTCTGAGAATTGGGATAAAGTTAAGCATCATTTGTTAGGGGTATGGAAGGATTCTTCCATTACTCATGATTTAGAGGTTATTCAAAAGGACATATCGGCCATGAGCCAAGCTCATTGAATGTCTTAGCACAAGGATTACAAGAAGACCTTAAGGCCATGAATCCCTTAGATTGGATTCAATATTTTAATTTCATAGGCATTCTTGCCTTAATTGTAGTTTGTGTTATCGTGATTTTCCCTTGTCTTTTCAGGACAATAACCAGATCTCTGGGCAGTGTACGTGAGGACCTGTATGCCTTCCGCCTTAAAAACAAAAAAGGGGGAACTGCCACGCCCACGACGGTGTCGCCCGCGTGACAAATACCTTGGATGAGGTGGTTACGTGGGAAAGGGGGGCTCGCGGCCCTCGGGTCTATGCCCCCGGCGACCCCTTATCAATCTGCCCAAATCATGGTGCCAGGCTACACGGAACCACGCAAAATCTGCTTACAGAAGCTGGCTGGCATTCTGCCTTTTTTCTCTTTGCAGCTGTGACTATTGCTGTTTCCTTGTGTATTGATTTCAGGGAGTTAGCTCTCAATGTTTCTGATGTGCCCCATAAAGAGAATAATGATTCCTCAAAAGTGGCCTCAATACCCCCACCTATAATTCAAGCTTTTAGGCAAACAGTTAAAGGGGGTCCTAGAAGTTTGGGGGAATTTATGAATGACTTAGAACAAAAAGAACTTATGACTCAGAGGGACAAAGATTCTAGCGAGGAGAGATGAAAGTAAAAGTCCAGGAACTCATAAGCAATCCACACGCGCAGCCAACAGCAGCTGCAAGGAAGCAGTTACAGGAACTAACCAGTCCTACAAGAATTATCAAGGGACAAATAGAGTTTCTCATCAAGGGTCGGTGGTGGCAACCCCCTAACTTTAATCCTAGATACAATAATTATTTGGAGCCATTGCCCTTTACGGGAGCTTATGATAAACATGGGAACCAATGGGTGAATCATAATAGCATGAAAACAGAATGGCATAAGTTACAGTTCATGGAAAGGATAGCTAGGTCCCAACCCCCCTGGTGCCTTCTCACCTGCAAGCAAAGGTTAAATATTTTCACACAAATGAAACCATGGTTAGAACGATGGTGGGAAGGGTTTAATTGTGATACAAAACAAAGGTCTAATAATTACGTAGAAGGAAAAACTTCAGCTAGTGCTGTAATGTTCTCTGTCTGGATGGGGGACCACAAAAGAGGAAATAACACCTGTACTCATGAGATCTATTAATCATTCTGAGAAAATTGTGTGACCACATTGTTAATTCTATGTCTATCGCCCCACTGGCCGATTGCCATGTTTCCTCAAATGAATGTATAAAAAACACTGCTTGATCTGAGTAAAATTGCAGCAGTTCACAGCATACTCTGGTGTCTGTGTCTGTCTGTCATTCGCCGAATCCCACTTATCCTGAGTACCTTCAACCCGTTCTCCCTCGGTCTGGTGTTCCTACTGAGACCCAGTCCGCGGCAATAATCCACAGATCCATAGAAGCTAAGTAACAAGGATGGCTCCAGAGAGTAAGAGGGAGCATGCATTTGGTTCAGTTTCTGAAAACAACATATAAACTTGTAATTGTATTTTTCAAATACCACTTTGACTTGTCATGTCAACTTTACCTTTAAGTATATTTGAAAAAATGATGCTCACAGAAGAGCAGAGAGAATCTATGTTTGTAGTCTCTTTTTTTTTTTAAGATTTATTTATTATGTATACAAAAGAGGGTGCCAGATCTCATTACAGATGGTTGTGATCCACCATGTGGGTGCTGGGAATTGAACTCAGGACCTCTGGAAGAGCAGTCAGTGCTCTTAACCTCTGAGTCATCTCTCCAGCCCTGTTTGTAGTCTCTTAGAGGGAATACATAAAATAACTTAAAAATGTACCTGACAAGGAAACTAGTCATTGTGCTCATATGAGTTAATATGTATTAATCTTAAGAAAATATTTTTCACGTAATGTGTACATATACCTAGTAATAAATATGTATCTGCTTATTAAGTTGTAATATATATATATGTGTGTATATGTATATAACATGATATATATGTATAGTGTTTACTCATAATCTTTTAAATTAGGACTTCACAAATGTAAAATAAAATTGAGATTAAGACAATGAAATATTATTGTAATGGAATATATTCCTGGCCACACATTCTATGTTCTTTTTCTTATGATTATCAGAAAGAACAGGCCTATGTGCATGGAATCATAATGTGAGGAAAATCAAGTATGAGGGAAAAAAACTAAAGAAACCCACTTTCCACACATGGTCACATAGACACACTCCTGTAAATGGATATCTGTCGCCATATTTGCTGTGTATATTTCAGAGTAACCTGTCAATACGTACGTATATCTATTGACTTTTCCTCCCTGATCATTTTTCCTGCTCTATATTTCCAGAGCTGATGACTGAGCACTACATCCAGGTTTCATCAAAAACACAAGTGTATCACAAGAACCTAAATTTATCTTCACTCCTAATTGTCTATCTGATGACTTTCTATCTGTATCTTGCTTCTGCATTTCGATTTTACAGAGTTTTGTTCTAAATTGAATGCAAGCCATCTTCCTCCATTTCAGACCTTAATAAGTTGATTCTAAAGCTACAGAATGTCTGCATGGAATAAAATAAATCTTACATCTATCACAAGAATCCTACATAGACATTTCTCTCCATCACAGTCCACTCAGTCCACCAATTTGTCTGTCATGCCCTTTAATCCTACAGGCATCAAACTAAGAAACAACCCTCAGAGATCAACAACATCTATGTGTCTTGCAGAACACACCCATACCAGCTGTAAATAATTAGAAACACAGGAATGAAATGGAGAGAAGCGTGCAAAATTGACAGAAAGTAAATGATTACTAATCAAAATTATAGACAAATTTTAAGTCGTATATTCTCATATTCTGACTTCCCAAACAGCAGCAGCTAGCACAGGCGGTCCCATGTCAGTCTACCACCACTACAACTCTGTAATCACTGCAATCAATGGCATTATTTCTTCTCAATGAGAACAACTATACTTTGAAAATTGTTCAAAACAACCTGTTAACTTTTTAAAAAATACTTTGTCTTCAGAGAAAGCCCAAAAATGTCTCACCACTGAACAGCTAAATGCAAGGCAGAGGAATGTAGAGAGATTCAGAGTACCAAATGTGTAAAATAACATGAATTCATACATACCCTTCTTTCTTTGAGAGAAAAAAAAAGGAACATGAAGACACACCTGGAAAAAGTTTTGTGAATTCAAGAGAGGGAATACCAGGATGGGAAATTAAAGTTAAATTCATGTGAATGCAAATTTATTCAGGACAATGAAATCTGAATTTTGAAAAGAAATAAATTTTAAAAGCACTTACTCTATTGTCTTTTTATCTTCACATCTGAAATTATATATTTTCGTGCAATAATCATTAAAAAGTGTAAAAAGTGCAGCAATCATCACATTTCCATCACTATGTAAAGTACTTAGTGCTTCAGAATCGCACTGAAAAGCATCAAAAGAGGAAAAAGGAACAAGAGTCTGCAGGAGCAAAAAAAGAAAAACCCGAGAGAACATCGTAAAATACAAGTGTCTGTCACAGTAAGCATGGGGGACACAGATCCCAGCATGTTCAGCAGCCACATATAGAGAACATGTATTTGTGAGCACAAGAGTTTGTACTATTTTTGGTGACTGAAGTCATCACTCTAATCACAGATATTTTTGACAAGCCTCTTCTACACTCCATGGAGAATTTTGGACAATTTTCTTCCCTGAGACTTCCCATCTGAGACCCTGCACTCAAGATAAAAACAAGCTTCAAAACACACTTGGGATCTTCTTTAACCACAGGCCCCATGATTTCAAAAGGACAGAACATCAAGACCCCAGTAATGACTCCTCTTGAATAGAATTGGAAAGAACTCTCTATCACAAAAGTTACATAAAACAGTGACTCAGGATAATACAGAAACCTTGCAAGGGAGAATGTCAAGAGAGTTGAGACAGAAAGCGTCCTGGGAAATGTCCCAACCAGACTTGACTCAGTGAAAAGCAGTAAGACTCCCTGCTCTTTAAAACTAATTATTGACTGTGCCAATCTAACTTGTCAATGGCCTAGAGGAGCCTAAAAACACTTTTTCTACAAATCTTGCATGTATGCATACCAATATTTCTTCCATGTCTCCCTATACTCCAAATGTTTTCTTTACCAACCATAGGAAACTGATAGGCTGAATTCATGAATTTCAAAGCAATGTCTCAATAAATGATGAGACTACATTTTCTGTTTACATCTTGAACTCAGTTCTACTTTGCTATTGTGTGTTTTTTCAATGTTGAATCATTCATTTAATATAAAATTCTGATCCCTCCCTACATCCAGAGAAAAGATTCAGCCACTACTTATATTTTCTTTGAATGTGAAGTATTGAATGCACCCCTTCATTTCCCCTAAATACATAAATAATAGCTTATATACTCCACGCATCATGTATAAACTGCTCATTTGTAATACTTTAAATGAAGTTTATCTTAGGAGCAGAAAATGTCATGACTGTAAATTTAATTTCACGTGTGCCAATATACCTAACATATTAGCCATAACTTCACTTAGGTTCCATTCTACTACTTTACAGAACCTAAGTGGCAAAGTTGAATATACCAACTAGCTTCCAACCTGAGCACTGCCGCATGTATCAATACTCATCTGCTGAAGAAAGGAGCAAGTTCTGAAAACAATGATAATTACTGACTGTCACAGGTGCTTGCACTTTCTTCACCTTGACAATGGCTATAAAAAACTTTAGACTTGTGTCTCCAGATGACTCTGTTAAGTGTCTAAGCCCTGATACCTGTGACTCCTGATTGAAAATGTGTATTTTTATGAGTTGATCAGTGTGGATAAGGTCATTATTGTTGGACTTGATGTGACTGGAAAGACTAATAGCCAAGATGGAGAACATGGAAGCCAGAATTGCTGAGACTTCATGGTCTGACTGTTAGGGAAACCTGGTCAATTTTATTGAGAGGTTCAGAGTATAAGCAGGACCAAGGAAACCTTCAGCTTGAATTTCTATGTTTTGGGCTTGTGGGAGAATATATTTATCATGTGTTAAAACCCTCATAATTGGTTCTGTTTTGTAGCATTAACAGAACAAGGCACTGTGTATATAGATGGTGGGCTGGTGTAAATATTTTTCAGTAAACAGTCTCCTGGATAACTCAGAACAAGACACACAATTTTTCTATATGACTGACATATTTTTGTTCTCATTTCTTATTTTATTGTCTGATACTTGGAAGTCATATTATCACTAGGATGTAAGTCCCTTCCTGTGATCTGCCACATTTAACTTACAATTCATATGTCAGTATGACAGAAATCAAAACAGCTTACATTTTCATTAGAGTGAGGAGAAAAATGCGGAAATTTGAGCAAAGTGGACATTGATATGAGAGAGATCTTAGAAATTGTGATGCAGAACAATGACCTTGTGTCAGGCTGTATCTGAGTTAATGTTACTTTTTATTTCAAGTAGCTGCTGTGGGATGTTCTGTATGACAAATGTGTTGATGATTGGTCAATAAATAAATCACTGATTGGCCAGTGGCCAGGCAGGAAGTATAGGTGGGACAAGAAGGAGAATAAAGCTGGGAAGTGGAAGGCTGAGTCAGAGAGACACTGCCAGCCGCCACAATGAGAAACAGCATGTGAAGATGCTGGTAAGCCACGAGCCATGTGGCAAGGTATAGATTTATAGAAATGGATTAATTTAAGCTGTAAGAACAGTTAGCAAGAAGCCTGCCACAGCCATACAATTTGTAACCAATATAAGTCTCTGTCTTTACTTGGTCGGGTCTGAGTGGCTGTGGGACTGGCGGGTGAGAGAGATATGTCCTAACTGTGGGCCAGGCAGGAAAACTCTAGCTACAAGTAGCTTATAACGTAATGGGATCACTTAGAATATTTCCAAAGGAGGCTATATTTTGTTGGTTCTCCTTCCCATTTTGTAACCATCTAGACATCCTTGGGGTACCCTTCTGACTCTTTATACCTCCATCCTTCCATGTTAAATTGTCCTGTTTCCAGTTATTTCATTAAAGCTGTTCACTCTTCCCTAGGTGATACTATTTTCTTCTACACTCAGAATTCCTTACTGATTGTTTCTTGTAGTTCAAAGTTTTCTCCAGTCCTGCCCACACCTGAGGTCCTGTAGCCACCTATAAAATAACAAATAAGAGACTTAATATTATTTACAAACTGTGTGGTCTATGGCAGGCCTCTTGCTAGCTAGCTCTTATATCTTAAATTAACCCACTTCTATTAATCTATGTTTTGCCAGGCATTCCATGTCTTTAATGGTCTGCTGGCATGTTGCTCCTTGAGCAGCAGGATGGCATCTCTCCAGAATCTGCCTTTCTCTTTCCTGTCTCTCTCCTTCGATTTCCCACCTGCCTCTAA